AAAAAAATATCTTTTTTTTTTTTTTATTTCTTTTTCTGTCCATTACAAGATCTTCTAACAGACACCGCAGCAGGCTCGCAGCCTCCGTACACGGAGCACCATGAACGAGAATGACGAGAACAGACCTTCGACGCGTCTCACACGGGCCAAGGCTGCAGCTCTATCCGCAGGTGACGTCTCCACTGCCGCCACTAAGAAACCTCTTGAGACCAAGAAAGCCGCTACCTCAACCGCGACCGCTGGTACCACAAGGAGGCGCGCTGCCCTAGGTGATGTAAGCAATGTCACCAAGGGCGAGAACGGCGGCGCAAAGGAGGGAAAAAAACCAGCCGCGACCAAGGTTGGCTTGACATCCAAAGCTACAATGCAGGCTGGTGGCGTTGCGAAGCTCACCCGCACCAACTCGTCGCGTACTACTGCCCTGACAAACAAAACCACCAACACGAAGAAGCCTACGGAGGATAAGGAAAAACGCTCGGGACCCGGATCTATCAAGGATAGTGCACAGAAGCGCCAAAAAACCACGCAAGACGTGTTGGTCGAAGAGCCACCCCGCAAGAAGGTGGAAGTCGAGAAAAAGCTCACCGAGAAGAAGCTTGTCGCTGAGAAGGCTCCCGCCAAGGAAAATGTCGAAGCTCCTGTTGAGAAGACCCTGCAGAAGCCCGGCCAAGATCTCGTGGAGGATTTGGATACTGAGGATTTGGATGACCCCTTGATGGTGGCCGAATATGTGGTGGAGATCTTCGAATACATGAAGGACCTCGAACTCGAGACACTACCTAACCCCCATTACATTGACCATCAACCGGATCTGGAGTGGAAGATGCGTGGGATCCTTGTTGACTGGCTCATCGAGGTTCACACCCGTTTCCGCCTGTTGCCTGAAACCCTTTTCCTCGCTGTCAATATCATCGATCGTTTCCTGTCGGCTGAGGTGGTGGCTCTGGATCGTCTGCAGCTTGTTGGAGTTGCGGCTATGTTCATCGCGTCCAAGTACGAGGAGGTCCTCTCGCCGCATGTGGCCAACTTCAGCCACGTCGCCGACGAGACTTTCACCGATAAGGAGATTCTGGACGCTGAGCGTCACATTTTGGCGACTCTCGAGTACAACATGAGCTATCCCAACCCGATGAACTTCCTGCGTCGTATTTCTAAGGCAGACAACTATGATATCCAAACGCGTACCCTCGGAAAGTACCTGATGGAAATCAGTCTACTTGATCACCGGTTCATGGCTTACCGTCAAAGTCACGTGTCCGCCGCCGCCATGTATCTAGCACGTCTCATTCTGGAGCGTGGGCCTTGGGTATGTAGTTATTATTGCTGCTGCGTGGGGACACTGGGAATTGCTAACGGGATGTAGGATGCCACCCTGGCTTATTATGCTGGATATGACGAAGAGCAGATCGACCCTGTCTTCCGTCTCATGATCGACTATCTTCACCGCCCGGTCTGCCACGAGGCGTTCTTCAAGAAATATGCCAGCAAGAAGTTCCTCAAAGGTAAGCACAGACCTGGTCTCGACGTGTTTGCAGCGGCTGACGGGTTTCATAGCGTCCATTTTGACCCGCCAATGGGCCAAGAAGTATCACCACCTGTACATCGACAGCTCCCTCTCAGAACCGTACAACTATATCAAGGATCATGAATAAATACGAAGGGTGGTTTGCGACACCCGTGATGAGCCAAGATCTCGCTCCTTGGCGGGATGGGTGTAAGGGGAGGAGTTGGTTGATTCGATATATGGCATTTCTTCGGTTGTGATGGTATAGGACACCTCTTGCATATGTTTACGACGGCATTTTTCTGTTTCAGCTGCGGATGTTTGCATTATTCACTTCTACTCGGGGCGTCGGGCGCTCTTTTCAAGCTCTTCTCTTTCTTTTCCATCTTTGCTTTCTTCGATTTGGCAGTGTGTCTGGGTTTCTTCACACTTGACTTCCTCTGATACCTTCACATTCTCCTTCTCCCCCTGTTTGTATTACAGGCGTCGGATGCCCAGGGTCGGCAATGTATTTGCAATTCTTTTTTGGTTCCCCACTTGTCTTCTTCTGCCAGCACGTTCGCTGCCTCGTCCTCGGAGAACGGAGGTGACGACGTAAGTGCTGCTGCATTTCCACGACCGCAGGTTACGGGGTAAATGGTATCTCGAATGGAAGGAAAAACCTAACAGGAAGAAAGGAAAAACGTTTTTGGAGTTATCTTTAGTGTGTTTCGTGTTTTACGGGGTGATAAATGGGATAGAGGGGGGGGAGGACGAGGGTCATCGTAATGTGTGTTTAGGGAATTTAATGTGCACTGGAGCTGCTGGCTTCAGCTTTCAAAGACCTGGACCATTTGCGACTGAGGATCAGTTGCTGGGTGACCGTGGATTTGTTTAGTCGGTATAGCGATCAACCAACCCCCATGAACCGAGGTCCAGCGAGATGCTCTGCCACTCCCGCTGGATTGCATCTCAGCCCTGACATTCCCACACCTCAGGTCTCGTATGGCCTCTCCGTAAACAACTAGATCATTTAAGACCGATATCTGATCACTCAAGCTCCCTAGAACGCAAATACGTCACTATGTCGACGCCATCGTCATGTCCCTTTTGTAACATCGCCAGCACATACCCGCCTATCCCTCCAACAGCCTTCACTCCAGATAATGCTCCTCCCAATTCCCAAAATACAACCAAGCCCTATACTTCCCTAATTCCCCTACCAGACGCATCCGACCCAACCCAGCCAACCGCGCATCTGATTCTCTCCACCAAACATGTCCTAGCGTTCTTGGACATCATGCCCCTGACCCGGGGCCATGTCCTGGTGATTCCCAGGACGCATTATGAGAAACTCGGCGACGTAGACGTGAAGGTCAGCCGCGAGGTACGTATAACACTCCTATTTTGTTCATTCATTTCCATTGTCTACATGATATCTCCAGCAACTAATCACATCCAGCTCGGCCAATGGCTCCCCATCCTCTCGCGCGTCGTCATGCGGACCATCTCCGGTGACCAGGACAGCAGCTCAGACTGGAATTGGAACGTGGTACAGAATAATGGTATAGTCCCGACTTTTCTTCCTCTTGTCACACTCATGGACCAGCTGGGATCAAGTGTATTGATGGTAAAGCACAGGAGTCAGGGCCGCGCAGCAGGTTCCTCATGCCCATTTTCATATCATTCCCCGGCCGTCGTCTAACCCAGCACCTAATGCTGCCCGGGCGAGCTTTGTGATGTTTGGGCGTGGGCAACGAGATGAGTTGGATGATGATGAGGGAGAGGCCTTGGCGCGTTTGTTACGGGGTGAGTTGGCGAAGGAGGTTCTGAGGATGGGCGTGGACTTGGAATGTGAGGTATCTGGTGATGGGAGGGGGGTGAAGGGGAGGCTTTAGTGGGATGTTTTATTCTTCTATGTACATGCTTCGTGTTCTTTTTTGTTTATATTTCATTCATCTCAGCTTTGTTGCGGAGCTGGGCTTCCTTTCTCGGATCTTTTGTTGGGGTTTTTCGTGAAGTACTGAACGGGTTCAAACTTGTTAGTTACGATCTTCGATGGTGTATGATAGACGATCTGCATGGCATACCTTTCTCCGGAACGCATTCAGATCATCGGCGCTGATTCCTTCCGAGTCACCCTTCTGTCGTGCCTTTGAGATGTCGGAGACCTGTCCTTCGGGTAGTCTTCGGTAGGTAATCAATCGGCGGGACCCTAGAATAACAATTAATAAGAGATCCTAGTGAGATCTGGTAGATGCTCTACTAACATTGATTGAACGGCTGCACGGAAACGCTGACAACCTCCAAGTGTGGATGCATGGGAATGAGCAGCTCCACATCCTCGTCGATGGAGGTGGGCATCCACATGCAGAGACGGCCATCGGTGACGAGGGTCCGGGACGCAAAGGCGAGAATATCGTTCTGCATGGCTTCGAAGCCGTACGGTTTCTTAGGAGGGATGTAACCAGGTCGACTGGAGTTCGTATGTTAGTTAAAGCCTGGACCCAATGGGGACCATCGAAGAAAGGACGTACTAATGCGCTGGAACGCCATCAATGATAACCTCTTCTCGACCACTACCGTCCCGGGTTCCCAGAACCCTAAGGCCTTCACGGACACCATATGGAGGGTCACAGACAATACCATCCAAGAACTGACGATTCAACAGCGGTGTGTTCGTCAAGTCCGAAGAGAACGCATCCATAAACTTGCTCTCAATGCCATATTGCTGAAAGTTGGTAAACAACCCCATAGGCGCCTTCTCCTTCTTCTCCCTGCCCTTGAAACTCCGTGGATCAATATCCGACCCACAGGTCAAGGCTCCGAAATGCGCTGCCGCAACACAGAAGCTCCCCGTCCCAACAAAAGGGTCATAGAACAGTCTCCCGGGAGCAGCGTGGGCCATATTGGCCGTGACGAGGCTCAGCTCGGCGTCCATAGAAGTGGTACTGATATAGCGGCGTTTCTTCAAGTCGTATTTCAGGACGATATCGCGACTGCTGTTCGCAATCCAGCGACCGAGATAGATCTTCCTGGGGTCCTGGACGTCGCTGTAGGCGTGTGTCGCACCGGGCGCTCTCGTCGCGATCTCAACGTCCGAAACAAAGTCTTCCAGGACCCAGAAGTCCTCGTCGGGGTTCTTCATCCGGATTGGGCCGTCGAAGCCCAGATACGCGAACGATTGGATGATGGCTCGCTTGGCCTCCATGCTGCGCTTCCCAGAAAATGAGTCGATCGTGAACCGGAACGACACTTTCTGGAACTCATCCCAGCGGTGCTGGGTCCGCCTGCGGACGTCGGCGTGCACTTCCTCATAGTTGGTGCCTTGGCCCCAGAGTTCGAAGATATCTTTGGCTAAGATACTGCGCGAAATCAGAGTGCGCGCATCTGCTTCATTGGGTAGTTTTACTACGCAGTATGGTGACTAGTGCGCGTGTTAGTTCCATTCGCATACAGTGGGATAAGTATAGGGTGAGGTGGGGAGAAATCTGCGGGACAGTTTATTGCCCCTCAGTGCTTGTATACTGGTGTAATGTTGTAAAAGATGTTGCAAGGGGGAACAAAATAAATTATATCAAATATTTAGAGGAACATACAAATTGGTCGTAATATAGGATTTCCAGATCAATTCCAGCCAGAGCGGCCAGAGACTCGATTTCCGGTCGTCGAAAAGTCTCGTGGACCTGCGCGAAGCGGATCACATATTCCATGATGACTGAAGCCCACCAGACTTGGTCGGGCCTGTTGAGTCTTAATCGACGGGGTCTGGAATCGCTCTTGTTCCCAGAATAGTACTTGGTGTGGTAGATAGACCGTCGATTATGTGCTGGTGGGTTGAAGGCGTCAATGGCTGTGTGGTACGAGGTAAACGTGATGGTCTTTATTTTATTTTATTTTTTCTTCTCAGTTTTTTTTTGGCCGCTCAGAATTTCTGTTACTGATGTTGCAGGCAACGGGAACCCACAAGAGCTCTTATATTCTTCAACCTGCCCTTCAGAAAGTATTCATGACTACAGTGTACTAAATTATGGTGGATGATTTCTTTCGTGGTGTTGTTCATGCTCAAGTCAATTAAACGCAGAAGCCGTAGCTACTCAATCTCTAAAGGAAAAGCATCAAGAAAAGCGCAACAACAGTCTAAAGGAACCAAAGAAAAGACCATCCTTCAATACATACGAAACCCTCCAAAACAAGAACCCCCAGCAACAACTTCATCATAAGAAGAACCGTACAGTACGCCGTCCCTCAATAGACAGGGACCAGAGATCCTATGACCGAACACCGTCGCTATGCGCCGACTACCTTAAACACATGTCGTGACTCATATCCTTCAGCAGGAGTGATTTCGACCTTTTCGTCGGGAGGAATCATCTCATGTTTGAAGTCCCATCCAGCCCGTCGACAGAGCTCAGACACCACCACATCGCAATCGCCTAAGAGATCAATATCAAAGCCCGTATGCGACACAGGCTAAGGTGGATGGTTAGCATATGAATTAGAGGATGAGGTTGTTAAGAGATCACCTACAGTCCGAGAGATATAGATCTGAGGCACATGACGGGGTAACACGCCTGGCACTTCTGCTACAGGAGCGACTTTCAACGAGGTACCAATGACGATGACCAGATCTACCTTGTCACGGTCATGGCGAATCAGGCGCTGTCCGAACTCATCGGGAAGATCTTCGCCAAAGAAGGTGATGTCAGGCTAAAATACATGTCGGTTAGCGGATGAACTGTAGGTGGAAGAGAAAAGCTGATGCTGCACGAACCTTCATCACCCCGGGGGTAGGGAGCTCGTAGTCTTCCTCTTCAGAGCTCTCGTCCCCATCGGAGTTTCGACTCTTGTGTGTGCCATTCGTGCTACGTTTGCGCTTTTGCCCCTGCGGCCTCAAAGAGTCTTCCTCAATCTCCTTCTGGCAGGAAGTGCATTCAGGAACGTTCCCCTTCCTGATGTCCTCGTAGAGCGCATCGCCTGACACCTGATACTGGCATTTAACACAGGTGGCCGTGGCAAATGAGCCATGGCACTGCACAATCTTCTCGGGAAGAACGCCTGCGTTCGCCTCGATATTATCGATGTTCTGGGTGTAGTTGGTCAGGAGCTTTCCTTTATCCTGCAGGAGTCGAATGAACCCATGAGTTGGCGAGTATTTCTTCTCCGTAGGCAAGATATCCTTCGCAATCGAGTAGAAGATGCTCGGGTCCTCACGGAAGATATGAATATCGAAAACTTCCTGCGGATCGCTTAGACCCAAATGCGCCAATTGCGAGTAGAGTCCGGTGTCCTTGGACCGAAAATCGGGGATACCGAGACTCGTTGAGATCTGGCGACACTATTAATGCATACGTTTATCACAGATAATCTAAAGCAAACACTCACACCAGCGCCCGTCAAAACAATGATATTCTTAGACTCCTGAAGTAACTTGACCGCATCGTCGATCGTGTTATACTGTGGAAGCTTCTTCCGGCGAGAGAACTCTTGCGAGATCCCAATCGCAAGCAAAGGGTGATAGGCCTCGTCCGGCGCGCCCTCGAGGAAAGCCGGGGGCATGATCCCAAATGCAGTGCATAGTTTCTTCGCCGTTACTTTGTCCTGGGCAATAGTTTCCTCAACGAACGCGGCCTTGCCAACTTCATGGAGGCGGTTTCGGAATGCAATCGCCTCGTCTAATGTACAAGCATCAGGTACTACTAAAGGCGGGAAAGGTCAGCGAACGAACGGATGAAATTTGAAGCATGCAAAGGCTCAGGCGCATTGCGCGAAGTATGAAACGCTTACCCCCTTCCCGAAGTTGCTCGTCACGAAGGACTTGGATAGCGTCTTCATAGAGTGACTGTGTTTCCCATTCGTCTCCCGATTCACCGCTATCCGAGTCCTCTTCCGACGGAGATACATTGCTTTGCGCAGAGAGAGGATTCTCTGTCGCAACGGTCCCTTCCACTTCCGCGGAGGTCATATCGACGGCTTCCACTTCGACCACCGGATTCTTCAACGAAGAGCTCTCCCCGCCGGGTGCTGGTATAAGGTCCATCCTGTATGGGAGATAGGACGCTTCCAGCAACCTCAATGACAACGCCTCACTCACATTGAATTTTTCGCCACGCGAATGTACGATCTGCCGGGATAAATCTGGCTCTGCGAATCTCCGGGGAAAGCGGTCGGAGCGGATTTATCCGACACCGGCTTCTGGGGCGATAAGTCGGTAGTATCAAGTGACAAAGGAGGATGGGCCAATAAGTATCGCATGGCTTTACGAGCGAAGTGGGCTTACGGCGGACGGATACAAAAAAAAAAAAAGAGGGTCGGCCAGTCAATCAACCACGCCCCCTGGACGCGGGCCACGTCGTTCGTATATCGTAAACAGTAGTGACTTTTTTCTATAGGTTGGTATCATGACAGGATTCTCATAAGATCATGCAATTTTTCATGAATCAGCCATCTCCTGATCGCCGTCCGACTCAAACTCGTCCTCCCAGCCCTCCACTCCCTCCTCACCTTCCCCGTCATCCTCCATATCTTCCCCTAATTCTTTGTTCATCGCTTCGACCAACTCATCCGCATGCTCCTTGAGCCTCACATCTTCGTATTGAATCGATTCGTAGAGGGTCAAGCTCTGCTTCAGCCATTCCCGGCTAGCGACCAGTGAGGCATGGCGTCTTGCCTCGGGAGTTTCACTGTCCAGCTCTTCCTCCTTGGGCGCTTCCTTCTTCTCGGCGAGAAGATAGAGACACCATCCTCCGAGATACCATGCCTCTACACTCTGGTCATCTTCTAAGATCAAACGTTCTAGGACTTCAAGTGCTTCAAGCTCCATGGTGACCTCCATCAATAGACGAGCCAAACTGATCCTTGTAGCGAAGTCGGGGACTGTCGGGTCCTCGGGTGGTAGGTCCTTCCATAGCTCAAGACTTTTTGTGAGTGCCGCGCGAGCCTCATCCGTTCGCAGCTGTGAGATTCGGATAGAGGCGAGAGTCTGTAGCACTTCCGGTGCATTTGAGTTGACCAAAAGAGCCTCTGTAATGAGAGTTTCGCAACGGGCTTCAGCATCTTCTTCCCACCTAGTCGCTGTTAAATTAAAGGAACTCCACGGACAAACCCAGGACATAGAGCAATAACTCACGAAAGATCGGTCATGTAGATCTCAGCAACAGCACATAGGGCATTAGCCATCTTCCGTTTCTTCTCCTCCAACTCAATAGCTTCTGCAGGACCCGGGTTCTGTTCAAGCTGTTGAATAACTTGCCTGAGACAAGAAACACCCTTCTCAAACCATTGAACACTGTCCTTGCCTCCAAGCTCGCTCAATTGAGCAAGCCACATGAACTTCTCAGCGCCACCTCCCTGGCTTTCAGGAATTGCGCCAGTCGGGTCCAGCTCAACCGCGCGCATAAAATGCTGCCTCGCCACATCAATCTCCCCCAGCTCAACGTAGATCTCCGCCACGATGTTCAAGGCCGAAAGCTGGGCGGGCGAATTGGCCGGCGCAAGTTCGAGCGCCTGTTGGGCGACCGGAAGCGCTACATCTGGCTGTCCTGTCTGGAGGAGTGTTGTCGCTTGTTCGAGGAGCTTGGAAGGATCTTCGTTCATTTTCTGTTTCGAGACCGACCCGCCAGCGCTGAGAACGGACTTGGACTTGGATTTGGATGCTTTCTTTTTGTGAGGTCTGGGTTTACCCATGATCGGCGTTTAGATTATATAAGAGAGATATTCAACGTACTCTAACAGTTCAAGTGAACGGATCAAAAAGGAAGAAAAAGATCTATGACAGTAAATTTCTTGCACAAGATAGATTTATATACTTGGGGAGCTTTGGAAGGTCAAGAAAGCGGAGCATTGAAATTCCCTTTTCGGATCAAATAATTTTGGGCATTTTCTTATCTGTTTGTCTGGTTTGCATGTGGGACTGCAATATTATACATGGGGTACTTCATGACCGAATCCTACGCCAGCCAGCTTTAATTCACGCAGCAAAGGATTGCCCTGCTGTCTTGTCGCATCTTACATCTACAGTGCTATATACTTGAAGTAGCCATCCTTGTGTGGGCGCGGCAATCCGGTCGTTCTCGCTTTGCAACACCCACTACTCGTACCCCTCCAACCCCCCCATCGGCGGCAGAATTGAAACAGTATGGGCCGCGAAGATCAGATTGAAGAGCGCGAGGTGCTCGATTCCATTTTCCCAGAGGAAATCACAGGTGAGATTACAGCTTCATTTATGCGCACCAAAGGGCTATTTATTGTTAACATTCTTAGATTTATCGGATACCTCATACAGGATATCAATCGTCCTCGACGCGCCGGACAATGACGTCGAAGAATCTGAACAGCCCGTGTTGCTCCTGCAGGTCTCATATCCTGCAGATTATCCCGATGTTGCTCCGGAGCTCGAACTATCCGCTCCCCCGAACGCCCCCAGACACCCTCGGCTAGATGTCCAGGAAGATCGGGACCAACTACTCGAATCCTTACAGCCTACTATTGAGGAGAACCTGGGGATGGCCATGGTTTTCACCCTCGTCAGTGCTCTCAAGGAGAATGCTGAACAATTAATGTCCGAGCGGGTGAATGCTGTCCATGCGGAGAAAGAGAAGGAAGCCGCTAAGGCTGAAGAGGAGGAGAATCGAAAATTCCATGGTACAGCCGTGACCAGAGAGACATTCCTAGAGTGGCTAGAGAAGTTTAAGGCGGAGATGGAGGAAGAGGAGAAGAGGCAACGAGAAGAGAAAGAAGCGGAGGATAAGAAAGCCAATAAGAAGACTCCAGGCAAGGAAGAGAAGAAGATGACTGGGAGACAACTATGGGAGGGAGGGTTCGCTGGCAAGGGAGACTTTGATGAGGAAGGTGAAGATGCTTTGCCTGCTGTTGAGAAGATGAAGCTTGCCGCGTAGCGTATCGCTATCTTGACGACTTTACCTGTTATGAGTCCTTCTATCTTATACTCTAGCGTCATGCAAATAGATGAAGTTCTGTAAATACCTCTACTCTGACTCTAGCAGCTGGCGTACATTCATGGACAGACAATGTTTCTGTCTCTTTACCTTATTAAACCCCGTCCACTCTTTCGTAAATCTATGCAGAAATAGAAATGATACTGAAAAGGACCTTGTTTCGCAATTGGGATGCAAGTATGACTTATTCATATTTCTAGGTAGTTTGAAAGTTGGATAAATGCATATCGCCTGGTTTCCAAGTTCACAGCCTCGTGTGCAGAGGAATTCAAACTAGACGGACGAGTGGTGAACAAGTCCTATCTTAGTTTGCAATAGGTTATGTTCAGTCGGCATGTGGCTCGTTTCTGGGGATATTCCACCCCTTGAACAGTGTTAAAGGAGGGTGGCGGGCGTCTACATGTATACGAGCTCGTTTATTGTACAACGTAGACGATGCGACCGCTATTGTTACCATGCAAGTACCAGGAGACGACCTGGAATGGCTTTCTTCTGTCGTGCTCTGTTCCGTGTTCGATTGCGGAGCAGAACAACATGGGTGGCACATCCCATCGTATAGGACCTTACGGCATCAGGCCATATAGGAAATCAAGTGTCACTTGGCTTTTCAGTCGACTTCTGTTTTTCTTCCTCGGCTGCCAACTTGCGCTCGGCAAGAACAATTTTCCACATGGCCTCTGCAAGTTCTATGTTTTTCTTGTCAGAGTCATGGATTTGCTGGTTAAGCGTCCCCAATGCGTCTTTGACCCCTTCAGCCCATGTGTCGGGCTCAGACCCAGTCGTCAAAGCGTCCCAGTTATCCTCGTCATTGGCAAACAGTAATTCACGGTCCAGCCTATCCCGGCGTTGAATACGGTTCCATCGATTTTCAAGTTTTGACCGTATCACGCCGCTTAAATTCTTGGGTTGGGGTTTTTTGATACGCAGGAAGGGCACTCCCCGAGCGTTCACAAGAACGGGAACCCGGCGCTTGCCGCTCACGACGGGTCGAGGACGAGAAAGAATAGAAGTGGCATCCGGATGTCGTCGGGCGGTTTGGTCTTGTAAACGCCGAGACTCGTGTGTCTTTTGTTGCTTCCGAGATAATGGCTTCGGTTCCTTCTTAGAGAGCTCTCTCTGCAGCGCCGATTCTCTCTGCTTTATCGACCGGATCTCTGAAATGAGCTCTACAATGCGGTTTGTATTGCGTTGATTTCCTTGCGAGGCTGAATGAAGCAGGTCGAGAGCCTTAAAGATAGGGAAGAATTAGCCACGGAGGCGGTTCTGTGCTGGAGAGATCGCGCAACATGTATATACCTCATACCCAGCTTTCAAGGCATTGACTGCTTGTGACGGGCTTTGAAGTTTCTTGTATCTCTGAAATTTTTGTTGTATGAGTGGCTTGCAGCTGCTAAGCTCCGGCGCGGTGTTCCTTAATTTTGCGCATTGTCGGAGAAGGGCCCGATAAAGTGCTAAACCTATTGAACGAGAATTGTGTTAATTCTGACAATGGTGTAGCTTTGCTGACATGGTTCCTGAACTTACAGGCGAATCTATGCACTCCAGACTTCCTGGGAACTACGGTTTTATGCATTGTTCGAGAGTGCTAACAGGATTACTACGGAGGACCTGTGACGATTAAGCCTGTCAAGTGATGTCACGTGTCGCAGGGGAATCACGCACACGACCGTGGCTAGTATAAAGACCACAAAGGTCTGGCAATTGCACATAGGCAAAATAATTCCATCCTCATTTGGACATCAAGCCTTGCATGAAACACTTGTATTGTGTCTCGGGATTCTCCCAAATCTAGTCTGTTCACGCACAACTTCGATTTACTACCGGCTTGAAGGTCCCGGGCGTATTCGTGCAATTTGTTTCTTCCCAAATCAAGAGTCGAGGATTTAACCTACCTAGGCCTATCGAGGTAGTAAGTCCACCACTTGGAGGCATATAGATACTTCGAGATATTCTAAATAATAATGAACTGAAGGCTCAGAAGGAGTTCACGCCATGCCTGCCGTTATGCATAGACTGTACACGCTCTAATGATGAAAGAAGAGAAAAGATGAGATGATGAGACCTGACGCAAAACTAACCACAATTCTCCGATCATGTATCCTGCAAGATCATCGACTCAGAAGTTGGAGCCCTCCGGAGGCTGAGGAAGCTTCTTGTGTTGCGGAAGAGCCATATATCTGAGATACTAAGCGTTGGCTTGATCTAACGGGGTAAACGGGGCGCTGCATACCTTCTCATTTCGAGTAAAATGGTCTCCATACTATAGTCGCGCTTCCATTGAGCCAAACATGGCAGTTTTGTGGGATCGACCTAGCCAGAATCAATGTCAAAGGCCATCCGCATGATCGAGGATAAAATGGAAGCCGCACCTTGCCGGTTCGTTGGTCTACACAAGGCAGATTAACCCGTGAGATGAATTGGATCTCAGGAGGATTGTCTGGGTAATCGGGACCGCAATGGATGTTGACACTGTATATCCTGTTTTCATGGACACTCTGGATGTTGCCGCATTAGTGACGTTGCCATATTGTACGACATTGGTTGAACCACCGGAAGACGAACATGAGGAGGGCCGAGAATAGTTCCGTTCCAGTTGCTCATCATCATATCTTCTCCGTCCGCAAGACCGTAGGAGCAAGCCTCTGATTTGTGAACGCAATGTACATCAGCGGGATGGCGCATGTAACCGTCGGTGGGATGTCACGCTTACCTGCTCCTTGGCCTTTCTCGCCCTTCTCGAGCTCTTCAAGGAGCTTGAAGTTTCTGGGGATTTTAGCTGACATTGTTGTATAATAGAAATGTGTGATTTATAAAAGTAGATTGCACAGATAGCTTTGGCAGAATATAAGGGATGGAGGTGGGAAATGGAATTCTTTGACCGAAGTGGAGGAGGGGCTCAAATCCCACCTTCAAGCAACAATACCGCCCGGTTTGCCCTGCGTATCGTATCGGCCTGAAGAGTCACCCCGCACGTGATGATAACGGATTGGGTGCGTCACGTGTGGAGCCTATCCCCGTTAGCGTCTTGGCTTTCCCGGAGATGCCACGCCTGATGCTATGGTCGATTGTTGTTGGGAAGGCATACACTTTGCAATCCGGTGTCAATTACTTGTAAAGCACCGGTGCTCCGTCTGCCATTCCTGGGAACGCGTACGGCGTTATTGCTCACAAGGCGCTGAGCCATTTTGTAGTTCTCGTGGTTTAAAACCGAATAGCAGTCAACATTTTCATGAAACCATATCTGTGTTCTACTTAACTCCGAGCTCCAGGCAACTTCAAACGACGGTTGCCATGATCTGACCCAGCAACTAGTTGGAAATGTCCTCTCAGCTTCTACAGACGGAACTCTTGAACCTAATTCAAGAGTCCAAGAGAAAGAATTCTGACCTCCGCCATGTGAGCTAACTGCCGGCCAAAAGGGATATCCTATGCTTTAGCTAACTGAAAGATAGGCCGCCGAAGCGTCTCTCAACGAGCTGAAGGCTTTGCCCTCCACTTCGGAGTCTCAAATCGCTGCCGGTGAGTCGGAATTACATCCTATTTCAGTCAATTATCGGCGGATTTACTGAGAGCCCAAGAGATCTGGTACGCAAACCTAAATTTGTCGATCCATTCATCTTAGCTTGCCATACGCGTCATGCAAAGCTCGCGGGCATTGGAGTTGTTTGCCTGCAAAGGCTGGTGGCATCCCGAGCGCTACCATCTGAGAGACTAAAAGATGTCCTTGGTGGGTTAAAGGAAACAACGAGTCTGAGTAGGTGTTAGTCCCTTCGCGCCCATGCAATACTAATCATAACCAGGTTTGGATATACAACTCAAAATTCTACAATCTTTACCTTCTCTGCTACAGCATTACTCAAATGACTTAGGCGGGGAGCTTCTTGTAACCACATTAGAGATCTGTGCCACTCTACAAGCAAGCAAGACCCTTGCACTTTCCAGTACAGCAGCGGCTACCTTGCAACAACTAATAGTATCGACATTTGAGCGAGTCCTTATTGAAGACAGTCAGTTCTCATAATTTAGATGTAGCCCTACTATACTTTGCCGCTGACCCGGTTTCCAGAAACTCCCCAGGAGTCCCGGCCGAAGGTAACCGTCAAAATTGATGGAAACCCTGTAAATATCGGATACTTTGCGTACGATGCCTTACGAGTGAGCACCGCGCCCAATGCTGCGTTTCACCCTGCTAATATATGTTGAAGGTCTTGGACGATCTTTGTCGACTTGCAGATGGCGAGCAGCTGCAATTCCTACGCATCAAGTCACTATCTCCAACATTCACACTGGAACTCATCGAAAGTGTTCTGGTCAACAGTGGCCGTCTCTTTGTTGGCCATGCCGAGCTTGCGCATGTGCTGCGAACCCGGCTTATGCCAATGACTGTGAGATACTTATCCGAAAGGCATTCTTTCGCTCAGACTATTCGAGTTGCTCGGATTCTCCTCGTCCTCCTCAAGCGTCATATGTCTCTTCTTCCCGCGGAATGTGAGATGGCTCTTGGCTTGTTGACACACCTTCTCGAACCTGATGGAAGTCTGCCATGGAAGCGCGTCCTGTGCATGGAAGTTTTCCGAGGACTTTATGCCGAGCCTGGTTTAGTCCGAATTATCTACTCACTATACGATGGTGACGAGCGGAGGAAGAATATCCTCAAAGAACACATGGCTGCTCTCGTTCGCTTGGCATCTGAGAAACCGTCGTTGATTGGCGTTAGCAGTCGATCAACTGTGCCTTCAAAGGCCGCACACTCGAGGTCCATTACTGAAGAACAGATCACTCTTGAAGCGGGTGGTGTCGCTGGCGTGATTGGAACGTCAGTATCATCTACTGACACAAATGTTCCAGGAATTAGTAGTCAGTGGAGTATAGTTCGTACGCCTTACATGGAGCTGCTCGACAAGACTGATCCTCCACCGCCCCCCGACACTTATATTTATAGCCTTGTGCTCAATTGCATTTCTTCGTTCGCAGAAGGCCTTGCCAAGTTCATCCTTCCCCTGACGGTGCCCGATCTGAAACAAAAACGGAGAAGTCGGATTGGAAACCCAGACCAAAATGCGGATTCTCCTAGACCCTCGCATGATCTTCAGAGGACGAACTCGTCAAAAAGTGCTCACAGGCTGAATAATAAGAAATCCCCTGTGCCGCTTAATCCTTTGGACTTGGAATCTCATTCTCAATTTCCGGCAATCAAGACTTGTGCCGGAATAATCGAGAATTGCTGGCCTGCTGTCCTTGCAGCATGCTCCACCTTCTTGTATGCTTCGCTAGATGACGACTTCTACCATAACCTGGTTCGATCGTTTCAGAAACTAGCCCATGTTGCTGGCCTTCTTAGATTATCTACACCTAGGGATGCCTTCCTGACAACTCTTGGAAAGGCTGCTATGCCAGTGGATGCAAGCGGCTTGGCCCCATCGGTCGTCGCGTCTGTTCCCCACCATATGCATACGGCAGAGGAGAAAAGGAAAAGCCGAGATATGTCCCTCGCGTCCCCAGTGTCTGAGGCACCGCCGGATGCCCCATCGGTATCTATCAGCACGAGGAATCTGTTATGTCTGCGTGCGCTACTGAACTTGGGAATTGCTCTAGGGCCTACTTTAGACCAGCCGGCTTGGTCTATAATTCTCGGTACGCTGCAGGATACAGGCTTGTTGACAAATGCATATTCAACCGGATCTGAAGCTCCAGGCGCGCTTGATGGTTCGAAGGTTAGCCTTGGGGGCGAGATCATTGCTGTTCAAACAGCCTCTGCTAAAATGCTTGAGAGCACGAGTGAATACCCGAATGATTCGTTCCGAGAGCTCTTAATTGCACTCTTGGATCTTTCTGAAGCAACGGAGGTGCCCAAATCAGGAGAGGCATCTGAGAAGACAACTGATAGTGTTCAGTCGGCACAGCTCCGACCCGGTTTTGTGCGCAGAAGCACCCGTCGTGTTTCACTAGTCGTGGGAAAATCCAAGGCCCAAGATGAAGAACTAAAGTTTGTCTTGGACAAAGCGGGTGAGCTATCAAGGGCAAATTTAGAACGATTGTCATCACTAGTTGAGAGCGATCACGAAGCTTGGCAAATACTGACGCAAAGACTTATGTTGACTGCGGCGGATGTATCGATTAGCCAAAACCTCCGGTTACGAGCCAACGATGTACTGAATACTCTTGTATTCCAAACTATGAAGCAGATGGGCAGCGATGATGACCAAGCGCGTAACTCTCGGCAGATGAGGAACCTCGAAACGTTGAGGGACCAGATCCACATTCTCTATGACAAAAGTGCTTGCTCACTTGGATCACCGTCTCCTCCTGTTACTGAGATCCACGAACAAAGCCTGGAGACCCTAAAAAATATCCTAGAACAATATGCGGAAACCTTCGCTGGCGGCTGGGCCGTCGTGTTTGACCTTATTTCTAGCGTGTTTGGGCATTGCCCAGTGAAAGAAAAAAGAGAGATTGGGGCTGCTGGCAAAGACCGCAGAACTACTCTAGTTGCAGACTCGCATCGTCTTATTCGAGTTGCTTATAAGTCCCTGCAGCTAATTGCCTCTGACTTCATTGCGCTACTTCCGCAGCCCTGCCGCTTGGAACTTGTGGAATCATTTTCAAAATTTGCTCTACAGCAACAAGATTTCAATATATCATTGACTACGACCTCGTCGTTCTGGAATGTTTCTGATTTCCTTCAGGGACAAATCGACAACTTTTCCATTGAGTCTCGAGTCGATGCCTCCGTAAGGGAAGAGGTACTCGTGGAACTGGCTAACGGCGATGACTCCTCCATCTCCAGGAATGCACTATGGCTTTTACTTCTGTTAAGAATTGTAGATCTCGCAACAGATAATCGGGCTGAAATTCGAAACTGTGCAGTTCAAACTCTTTTGAGAATTTTCGATGCTTATGGTCAACAACTATCTCCTAAAGCATGGCGTCTATGTCTCAATCGCGTGTTATTCCGGATGACGGAAGAGATTGAACTGGGCTTGGAAGAAGTACGGGGCCAATGCACCAAGAAAGAGTCCGACGAACTCAAGTCATGGGTGGAAACGTCTGTTGTTACCATCAAAGGACTGTCTGACCTCATCACGAACTTTTTCGAAGCAATCATTCGAGACGAGGAGTTCGATCAATCCTGGGGACGCCTCCTGGCTTACTTGAAGAAGCTAACCGCCTTGCAGATATTAGACCTCAGCGAAGCGGTGTACCTAAGTCTGTCTAGTGTTCTAGTTCGTGTGCAGGGTCCAGATATGTTTAGCAAATCGTCCCTGCAATCTACCTGGGGCCTGTGGCTGAGCGGTCACCCTGCTGATAGGGAAGATCTGCTGGACATGGATCGTTCGAATCAAGCTGCCGCAATCGCCTATCTACAGGCCTTTAAGGAAGTGTATCGCTTATATAAGGATGACCTGACAAGCGATGATATTGGCAAGATCCTCCACAATATGCGGCATCTTGCTTGGAACTCTATCTCACCACGATATTCTCCGGATATTGACCGACCATCTGACCTGCAGTCATCGATTGTTGATTGCATGAGAACACTCTGTGCAGATAAGGAAGATTCTCAGGCAGAAATTATCGCATGCCTTGCAGACTTCGCTGACTCTGCGTTGACGAGATGGTCACCAGGGAGCGATCCGAGGAAACCGACGTACGTTGCCTTCTCCAAAAGCACAGTGGACCTCTTGAACTGGTATATCACCGAATATGGCATAAAGAGGGATATATTTGGCAATGGCTCTCTAGCAGCTGTTCTCGAGCATCTCGCCAACCCAATCCTGCAAAGATATGAATGGCCTGGAAAGGATCGCGAGCCGATGCTGTGGCAAAAGTCGACAACAACAGCCCTAAACACCCTTCAAGTAGCCATTCCATATGTCGAAGAACAGTACGAGAAGTCAAATCAGCCAGAAATCTCCCGCTTCTGGAAATGTGTTGTGGACATCGTAAATGGCCTAGTCTCGGCCAGGGGTTACCGAACCGTTCCTATTCCTAGGGAAACGATATTTGCAGACGAATCCTTCGATATCGCCTCCTTCAACCGACTGAAAGCCCTCATTATCCCAGCTCTCGGGGCATCTACCATCCCAGACACCATCCGACAGGATTTCGCACGTGCATTATTGGGTTCTTCCTTCATCTACTTGCCTCAACGATTTGATCTCCCGGAGAAAGGCCTGGAAGACGACCCTCTCAAAGGGTTATATGAGGTCCGTCCCGGAAGGACGTTCGACCCCCCACCGACTTCGCGAACCAAAATGGCGTATGCCGTAATCGACACATTGTTTGAACTGGCATCGGCTCCCTCGAAAGAAGATTCGACACACGCTTCGTCACGCATTGCACTTTCTCGTTCCATCACCCCGTATCTGATCCTCCGCTGTGCCGTATCCCTGAAGGGCTATGTTGCAGACCAACCCCTGCGCGGACTCATGCCTCAGCCCACACCTGCGCGAAAGGTACTTTTGCATCTCCTCACGGGGATGGTGCGTCTGCGAAGCGAACCTTCGGCCATCCTTTCCCCGCCAGTGGGCATGAGTACAGCGATGCTGGTTAAGGAATCGACTCCTTCTACCGAGCAGAATTATAAAAAGCATCTCGAATGGATATACCCGCTTGTTGTGCAGGCTGTGCAGGTAGCGGGGAGGGAAAGAGACGATGGAGAAGTGCTCGAGGCTCTCGGGAAGGTGTTGCATGAGGTCGGAGGCTTTTAATGATTCGCATATAGATTACGGTCTACGGACCGCAGGAGTTACTCAGAATCATAGACTTTGATCTTGCTTTGTCTTGTCTTAATGTGGCAGTGCCCTACATTCCACTTCCTTTACGTGGGAAACATGAGAATGGTGGTCATGTCTAGGTTACAGTAGAAGGCTTTGTCCTTTCACATCATACGTTACATCATTGAATCGAAGCCCAGCTCCTCGCTCAAGAACTTGAGCTAGTTGAAACCAAAGAAGCGACATCCCTTACGCAAGTGCTGCGACATGAAAATAGGAATTGAACGATAGGTCAAGACAGGCTGATAGGTGAACAGGGCCAGAGTACAGCATTAGACTGGGTATATGTAGAACACTAAGCAATTCGGCAGTCATGAAGACAGTGCCATCATCTTCAAACGACACAGCGGAACTAGATCGGCTTCAGAACACTATGCCACAGGGGCAGTGACTGCCGGGTTAGGTAGTGGCTCCCGTCCAGGGCCTGCGGTGGCGGATCCCGGCG